CTTTCTCACACACACACACACACACTCAGTCCTGATGTTGAGGTGCACATTGTCAGCTCAGTATTGTTGATTTCAGAGCCTCCCATCAGTCAGATGCGGCCGCCACATGGCAGCGTGACGCCGCAGAAGAACAGCAACCTGCTGGTCATCATCGTTGTTTCCGTGGGAGCCGTTACCGTGGTAGTGGTGGTGATCGTCGCCCTGATCTGCACCCGCCGCTCGTCCGCACAGCAGAGGAAGTGAGTTTGTTGGTATAATATAATGATAGATCACATGATCCGACTAGAGTGACACTGATATGGATTCAATTATAATATCCACTTGATTTACATTGACAAAACATTTAATATAATATAATATAATATAATATAATATAATATAATAAACTTTGTCCTACTCTGTCTCTCTGTGTTCCTGTAGGAAGCGTGCGACACACAGCGCGGGGAAGCGGAAGGGCAGCCAGAAAGACCTGCGACCTCCTGACCTCTGGATCCATCATGAGGAGATGGAGCTGAAGAACATGGAGAAGCCCTCGAGCTCCGCCCCCTCCGGCCGCGAGTCGCCCACCCAGAGCTGCCAAGAGATGGCACCGGTCAGCCACAGCCAATCAGAGAGCCAGATGGGCAGCAAGAGCAGCCACTCAGGTGAGGCCATGGCCTCCGGAGGTGTTCGTCGATTCGACCGTGTGTGTTTGTGAGTGTGTGTGTGTGTTTGCATCAGCAGCTGAAGGTCATGTGGTTCTCTTCTTCAGGTGCAGATGGAGATGAATCTTCCAGCAGCATTTCCACGTTAGAGCGATCGTTAGCCGCCCGCAGGGCCACGCGCACCAAGATGATGATTCCCATGGACTCTCAGCCCAGCAACACACGTGAGCTACTGCATTCAAACATTTCACATTTACACCAAGAACCATAACTGTAACGATAACTATAGCTATGAATTTTAATATAATTATAACGAGTGTTAACGATTACTAGATCCATAACTATAATGGTAACTATAGCTGTAAATATAACTACATTTGCAACAACAGTGATAACGATAACTAGAACCATAACTATAACAATAGCGAGAATGTCTCGGTTACGTATGGTAACCCTCGTTCCCTGAAGGAGGGAACGGAGACGTCACGTCGGATGACCGACGAATTGGGATCTCGCTTAGAGGAACCAATCTACTTCGAGTGTAAACTAAACGAGCCAATGCACATTGGCATGCGATTATTGCATCCAGCTGCCGCTGATCACAGCGTGAGTATAAGTAGGCAGCAGATGCAGCGCATATTCAGGTTTTCGCTGAGGAGCCGAGCCGGTGACCCGGCC